TGGCAACGAGCAGAGCAAAAAATCGAAGAAAAGGGACAGAAGGAAGAAATGAGAAAAAGAGACAGCAAACGAGAAAAGGAAAAAAAATAGAGGTTTTGGGTTTAAAATGAAATAGTGACTTTAGTCCTGAATTTTATGAAATTGGGGTATATTGTTCTTAATACAATGAGAATCAAATTTATCGGGATTCATTGGTATTTTGAGGTGCGGAGTAATATACAATATACTCTTTTCTTTAAGTCTTTTTACAAAGAATGTCCTTTTGATTATTTTAAATTCCTACTCATGTCTAGTATTTCCTGTTAATATAAAATTCTGCAAGTTTTGCCGGTCTGACCTATATTGTGGGCTAATTTAGGATTGATTGGTACATGTACGAAATGTGTTGGGGGTATAATTTTGGAAATATGATTGTGACCTTGTGGGATGCAATTGTTCGATTTAATTATGACCTTACAGGGTGTGACTATTCGGTATGAGTACAAATTTTATGTCTAAGTGTTAGTTCTCATATCATGAAGAATAACAGAGTATAAGGCTAAATTTGATAGTAGTTGAGCTAGGTGGCATGTCCAAATTTAATTGATGATTTCGTTGTTCATGTTACCTATCATCTGAATTATTTGGTATTAGATCATTTGTATTTTTGTTTATCACTGATCATATTTTTTTCCTATCGTGTTATATACTTCTGCACTTTTAATATTTTTTAGGATGATCTAGAGGAAAAGAACTATAGTTAATCTTTGAGGAATTGGAGATGGACGAATCTTAATATATTTTTTTTAAAAATTAGAATTGCAAGTTTTATTGATTCAGAGATCACAATTGTAATTATATATATTTTTTTGAGATAATTAGAATTCTAGCTTGAATATTTGGAAATATATTTATGGTTTATTGTGGTCGATTAATTGATTTATTAAGTAACGTATCCGAGAAATGAAAGTGCTACAAAGTGGTATCAGAGTCTAGGTATCAGATCTTATATGTGTCTTGTGAGAAGTGAGTCTATTAGTTTCGTTGCATAGTTGTACAAGTGGGAATTAATATTAGAGTTATAGCTTACAAATACAGTAAGTAAAAATAGCATTAGAATGCACAACAAAAGAAAAAATTATTCATTGACTAACTATGAATTTCGAAGATGAAATTCTTTTTAAGAGAAGTAGATTGTGACAATCCACATAAAATTTAGTGGTCAATACGTCATAGATTCCATTAATCTTTTTTTTTAAAAAAATTTAAATAAATAAATGAAACTCAAATATGAATTACTTGTGTGAAAATGAATCAAAGGACTCTAGTATATGTCATATTTTGTGTTGAAGTAAAATGTCATAATTTTCGAATGGTACAATATATAAATAATATATGTGTATGTGTTCTAGATGTACAAGTGTCAAAGGTAGAAAGAAAAAAAGGGTCATAAGTCGTGACTAGTGGAATGTAAAAAAAATTGTTAAAAAGAAAAGGAAAATGCATGGCCAAACTCTTGGACAAATGGCCATGCTTATGCAAGCCTCATGACACAAGCCAAATGACATGGGGGAGTTTGGCCTTGCAAATTTGGTTATAAATAGCCATAGAGCAATGGCAACCAGCAGAGCAAAAAAAATTATGAAAATAGAGAGAAGGAAAAAATGGGAAAAGAAAACGAGAGAGAAAAGGAAAAAAAAAAAAGCGAGACTTTGGATTCAAAATGAGATAGTAATTTTAGACTTCAATTTTATGCAATAGGAATATATTGTCCTTAATATAGTGGGAATCAAATTTATCGGGATTCCTTAGTGATTTGAGGTACAGGGTAATATATAATATCCTCCTATCTTTAAATATCTTTGCAAAGAGTGTCCTCTTGATTATCTTAAATTTCTACTCATGTCTAGTATTTCTTGTTGATGGGAAATTCTGCAATTTTTGTTGATCTGACCGGTACGTGTGTTAAATATTTGGAATTGATAGGTAAATGTACGAAATGTATTTGAGGCATAGTTTTGAAAATATGATTATCACCTTGTAGGGCGCAATTATTCAGTTTGACTTTGACCCTGCGGAGTGGGACTATTCGGTATGAAATAAATTTTATGCTCAACTATCACTTCTCATGTCACCAAGAGAAATCGAGTATAACAGTATATTTGATACCAGTTGAGTTAGGTGACATGTCCAATTTGATTGATGATTTTGTTGTTCATATATCATTTGAATTATTTGGTATTGAGACATTCGTATTTTTATTTATCGTTGAGCATATTGTTTTTCCCATTCTATTGTATATTTCTCTACTTTTAATATTTTTTAGGATGATGAAGAAAAAAAAAGACCAGAGTTGATATTTGAAGAATCGGAGATGGACAAATCTTAAAATAATTTTTTTTATATAAAATTAAAATTGCAAGTTTTATTAATTTGGAGATCCAATTTGTAAGTATAATTTTTTTGAAGTCATTAGAGCTCTGACCTGAATATTTGGAGATATATTTTATGATTTATTGAGATTGATTAATTGATTTATCAAATAACGCATTTGAGAAATTGGGGCGTTACATTTCGGTTGATGAATGTTTTAGAATTTTGTGTTTTTTAAATTCTGGTTCGTAGATTATCAATGAATGAACTGAATTATCCGTGAGACAAATGGATTTTATATTATTCGGATATTGGTATAAATTGTCAAACCAAATTTAGACCAAAACTTTATATTTTTTGTCTTTAAAACACTAGAATATCATTGTATGTTTGAAGATTCTTTAGATAGATTTTTATTTGGGTGCTGAATGTCATAATCGAGTATTACGTTAAATAGATATATAACGAAAGAATTTGTTTTTATGTTCAAAATCAAGAATTTTGTATTATGATTTGAGACTCATTTAATTATTTTTATTTTTATTTTAGTTTTTGATTGTTGTATTGGTATTCATAGTTCATTTTGTAAATTATTTATTCTTATATTTATGTGGTTTTTTTAACATATGTTGTACAATTTTCAACATTTTGGTTTGATTCTTTGTTCGGTGTCACTATTTTTATTTTAAAAATTAAGTTCATTTATTTTGTTAGAATCAAGAATTGAGGGAACGGTGATGCTTTTATGCAAATATAGTTTTGAGATGTTAGTTATCCGATGTTTTGTTCGTTCCAGGTTTAATTTTTTTTTTTTTTTTTGCATGGAATTTGCGAGAAATGTGAGGAGTTGAGAAATGTGTCGGTTGAATATCGTATTTTATTCTAGGTTATCCAAATTGTTGTTTGCGAAATAATGAGAACTTGAATAATATGTTTGATCTGGCACGTTCTATTAATATCAATCATGTTGATGTGATAGTTTATATGCGAGATGATGAGTCATGCGCCGTTGTTGATGATGTTTTGCTTGAAGATGTTCATATTGGTGATAGTGGGGTTGAATCTAAGGATGATTTACTTCCTCGTTTTCGTTCTTAATAATGAAAAAAATTCTATTAACATTTTGGGTGGGTAAATGAAATAAGGCATCAAGGTCAGAAGTTTGAAGATGGTGTGACGCATTTTTGAAATGTCCTATGCAAATACTCGATTGAAGTTGGGTTTAAGTTTAACTATGTGAATAATTATAAAACGAGGGCTATTGATGAATAATTTTAAATTGTGATTAGGGATCTAATTGTTTCTGTAGGTTATTTGCATGACTGAAAGCTTCAATTATTCTCGACAAATTTTGTTCATTGATGAAATCTTTCTTAAATGAATGTATAAAATAAATATTTTTTGGACAATTGAGAAAGATGGTAATGAAGATATAAGTCTTGTTCTAATTTTATGCCTTAATGGCTGTGACATTGTCATCGTATGTTATCATTGTCTGTTGTCATTGTCATTGTCACTGTATTTATAATTAATTGTGTCACTTTTCAGTTATTATTGTTTGATTCTAGCCTCGTCATTTTTTATTTATTTATTATGTTAACAAATCATATTATTTTTGAATTCACAACGAAAATTAGTCCAATGTTCTTGTCACGTTAAGGTTGAAAGCCATTCCAACTCAAGCGTCACCCCTGACCAACCCATCTTTAAGACCACTTTTGGTGACGATTGGATGCGGTGACCATACTAAAAACTAATAATACCAGGTGGCCGAACAGAGCAATGTTATTTGCACTAAATTATTTATAACCGTTAAATTAGTAGACTAACGAATATAATTAATTTGGTATAAATTTTGATACACAAATTTAACGCTCCCGCTGAATATAATAACAAAGCACAAACCTCAGCTTCTAATCATTATTTTAAGTTATTATTATTTTTCCCATCATGCATGAGATTCGATGACATCCTTGTTCGCAGTTAATGCCAAATCAGTCTCTATATCTTGGGAAGATATTGTCTAAAGAACAAAACAAAATGAGTGTGGCCTACTACTACTACTACTACTACTACTATATATATATATATATATATATTGTCTATGAGTGTGGCCTACTACTATATACTACTACTACTATATATATATATATATCTCAAAGATGATTAAGACCCTTTCGTTTTTAAATAATTAAAAAATATATATATTAATTATTTTAAAAAACATTCTGACAACATCAAAAGCAATAATAATTAATTATAAATACATAATATTTTATGTATAATGTACATCACATTACGCCAAGAAATAGTAAATATTTTTTTCATTGTGATGACATCTTTCAATAATGCATTTGTGGTTTTTTCCTGGAAATGATCAGTGGGGCCATTTCTTCTTCTTTTTTTTTTTACTCAAATAAGTCTCGATATTGTTTATCTTTTAGGTGAAGACTTTGATATAGGTGTTACATACTATGTAAGTTTATTATCATTTTTTAATTAAGTTATAATTTTGAGAAAACTTCATCCACATCTTTTGACAAATATCTTATTTTTCAAAAATATTTTATTTTTAAAGACGTTTCTTTATTTTATTTTTAATTCATATGTTCATTTATATACCCCTTTTAAAACTGCTGGGCATCATTCTAAAACCATTCTAGGATACCAATTTTACACTCCTTCACCATATACAAGTACAACCCCTTCCTCCCCATCTGCCCTTCTATATCTTTTGCCACAACTTCCCTGTCCCACCCCCCACAGCCACCCTCTCCCTTCCACCACCCCCTGGACACACCTGTCAACCTCAATTCAAACTAACTCAACTACTTCAAACATAAAAAATTATAATAATTGTATAAAAAATATTTTATATTTACTAATTAAATTGATTGGTTGAAATTAAAAAATTATCTAGTCAATCTTCTCTAAACACCATCAATAGTGATATTATCTATTTTTTCAACATCACTTTCCTAAATCATTAAAAGAAAAAAAAAACTATTAGATTCTTTCAAGTAGCTCTTCAACTAAAAAGTTCTATCACATCACCCATATCAAGATCCTTCAATAATGTGTCGCTCTTTGGACTTGTCGAAGTGGATGAAGCTAAGAGAAAAAATAATACAGTAGTCATACTTTACCCCAAAAGAAAAAATTATGATACCCATATAAATAATATTTTATTATCTCGTTTGAAGAAGTCTTTTGCAATGTGGACTGATCACACTCCCACTTTTGCTAAAAGCAGATTTCAAGGTAACAGTAAAAACAAAAACAACAAAAAAGATCTTTAACAATCATTTGAAATAGGGGATATTTGAGACCACTTGACTTCCAAAAATATAGTATATCAAAATCTGAAGTTCTTGAAATCATATCATCTTCTAAGAAACGATCCAATTTAGACCTCCCATGCGCTTTTATTATGTCTTTTATTTCTATAAACTTATCAAAATCGGATAAATCAACAATTAGTAGACATTTGAAACGAATATTTGATTGAAGAGATGAAGGAGAAGGCTACAGTTTATAATTATTTCCTTGTCTTGCTTCATATTCGCCTACTAATTTCAAATCAAAGCTCCTTTCTCATCACTTCATTTGAAGTTTTCATATCTTCATATATATATTTTTTATAGTAATTCTCTAACATTTCCAACTTATACTGTGGACCTAAAGTAGTGGCTACTTCTTTGGCACTATAAATCACACTCCGATATTTTTTAAACTTTTTCAACAAACATTGTCTCAAATTTAAATGAGTAGCGAGCAAAATTCCTTGATGTCCACAAAGAAGAAGATGCAGCGAGTTGACCCAGAGTATTACCCAAAAATCAAATACTTTTGACGAGAGAGAGAGAGAGAGAGGAGGAGGATATTAAGCAAAGTAGTTATTACCTACCCATGAGTGGTTAGGAAACGACTGTGCCACGACTCAAAGAAGAAAAGAACTTTTTATCCGACAAGGAAAATAAACAATTAAAGCCCGTGTGAACATTTTATGGGCCCTTTATTAGAGTAGAGGCGGACATGACTAATCCATACAACAATAAGTAAATGCTTGTTTAATTAATAATGATTTCTTCTGGATTATTTGTTCCTATCATAATCACGGTCACTGCGCCGCCTCAAATAATCACAACGTACGACCCTCAATCGTTGCTTAACATGATTGTATATAATCATTATTTCTGTTTAAATATGATGTTTCAGTGATTCTGCTGAAATCAGATTTCGAATCTTATTATACTATTTATGTCTAATTTAAAAAACTATTTTTTTTCCTTCCACGAAATATATTGTACAAATTAGACCAAGCAGTAGAGCCATACTACACTAACAAGGATCGTGTGGGGACACTTGGCCCCACGCACCGACTAATTATTGCTTTCAGTGTGCTAGGGGATCATTACCATCTTTAACTTTCTTTACTTTAATGCTTTCCAAACCAACTAGAGCATACTTCTATTACAAGTCGGTTTGGTTTGCAGCTTTATGTGAATCGAATTGATCCATTGCATCAATCAAAATCACATGTTTATACATACTTTTGAATAAAAGAACAGAAAAAAATTATGCAAAAAACCAATAATCTTATTAAATATTCATAAAGCTTTGCACATGCCATCGAGACAAATCAAAAAAACGAAAATGCTATTCCTATGAATTCCAAGATTAAATCTACCAACTTAATCAATTATAATTATTACATAATTAAAAGTGACTCTATTCAAATTTTAGAATCCATAACTAATTTAATAACAATAAAAAATTAAGTAGCTAGATTAAGTTGCCTAATTAAGTTCAGGAAACGGACCAAACAGTCTATAAGCATCGCTCCTGCTGCAATGCCAATACAGATGCACCATCGTTTCAGATCTAACCTAGCTGAATGAGCAACAACCGCAGCCAACTCAATCTCTACCAGCTGCAGGACAACGATGGCTCCTACAAGGACAAGAAACCCACAGTTCTTATGCTTAAACATCCCCTCAAAACCATTAGTTTTGTCAATCTCTCTTGTGTTGATCAGTACAGAGACTTGGCAAAGCATGTAGGAGTTGAAAATTAAAGCTTCTAATGTGGTCTCGTCCACCTGGAGAATAGATTTTCCCTTGAAATGCAGAATCAATAGAAGAGTGACTTGGAACAAAGATTGAACAGCTATGTTTCTCTTCATTCTCTGGGTAAAGATTGAACCGCCAGCACCATATACTGGTGGCGGCGGTCTCTCTAGTCGAATCTGAGAAGGCGGCGGCTCCGCCGCCATTGATGTGGTGGCCAAAGCCAAGGCACCAAGAACATCCATAATTAGGTTTACCCACAGGAGCTGAAATGGTGTTATTGGCATTTCACTTGTGCAAACTTCAAGAATGAGATTCAAAGTGAAGGCAACAATGTTAAAAGTCATCTGGAACTGTAAGAACTTCTCAAGATTGTTGCAGACACCTCTTCCCAACTTTAAGAGGGCAGAGATTGTCAAGAAATCCATGTCCAAGACAGCTATGTCCACATCTTCCTCTGCTTCTTCTGCACCAATATGACCGAGAAAAAGCCCGACGTCGGCTTCGACTAGGGACGGAGCGTCTCTAGTGCACGTTCCGGTGACTGCCACCACCTCGCCATTCTGTCTCAAGCACTGCACCATTAATAATTTATCGGAAGAAGAGGTGGTGTCGGCCATCACGCGGAGGTTATCGATCAGGCTCTTGCGTTCTTCCTCAGAGATGCTTCGAAATTCAGAGGCGTTGATTATTGCTCCATGAATGTCTTCTTCAGGACTAAGAATTCCGGAGTTGATGGCCATGATTCTGGCTGTGTTTAGATCATCACCCACGACTAACTTGATCTTAACTCCTGCTTCTCTACAACCTTTGACTGCTTCTCTCACCTGCGGTGTATAAGGGTTCTTCAAGGTCACTATGGCCAATAAGGTTAAGCCATACTCTACGGGTTTGAGGATTTCTTCTTCTTCTTCAAGTTTCAGGGATTCCTTTTTCTTTTGTACGATAATTTGTTTGTATGCAAAAGCAAAGCACTGGAGACCCTCTGAGGAAATAGTTTCAATGATTTTCTTAAAAACTACCATTTTGTCTTCATCTAGGGTTTGCATAGTTCCATCAACGTCATAATATTCTGAACACATGGATAGTGCCATCTCAGGGTCTACTTGCCAGTGCACATGCAAAGCTTTACCGCCAACCTCACCATTTCTCCTCAACAATAAGCCCCTTCGATTCTTGCTGAGATCAAAAGCGTGAGTATGGAGGATGGTGCAACTTCGATCCGACTCCTCCATGTTGATGCCAAGCACTTGCTGAGCCCAGCAAAGAAGAGCAGCATCCTCTCCTGGGCTAGTTTGAGTCATGATCATATTCATAGACACTCCCTCCCTCAACTTATCAAGGACTTCACTTGCTACTTCAGTTGAAACTTCCTTGATATTGTTGAAACCGATCCACAAATCCGCCATCTTCTTATGCTGCAGAGCTAGATCAATCGTTTTACCGGTGCAGATGGTGGTGACCAAACCCATTGTGGCACATGCTGGAAGTTTCCTGACCATGGCTCGATGCGACCACATCATTTTCATAGATGCATATGCCAAAGAGATGGAAATTCCTAGAGGCAAGCCATCTCTTGTTGCAAAGACCAATATGCAGAGCATAGAAACCAATCTATTAACCCTTACACGTTCTTGCTTCTTGATAATTTTTGTGGCTTCGCTCATCATCTCCTCCACCGTGTTCTTCACACCTTTGGGATCAGGGTTATGATTCTCGTCACACCACCCTGATTCCAATAGGAAGCATCTGAGTACCTGCGCTACAAGAAGCAGCAATGACAGGCTCAAACAAATCTTTTCCAAACGAGAATAGGTTGTATTAATAGAGCTTTGCAACTTCGACTCCTCATTTGATGACTCCAACAAAAAGTGCTTAATTGTTGGTCTCATCAACTTGATCCTTGACAACTTCTCGATCATTCTTTGGTTCCTCTTGCAAACTCTTGCAATGGCGCCGAAGAAGACAACTGTGAGTATGGCCAGGTACGTAACTACAGCATCAAAGACTGCTCCTTCTGCACCGTTCCTTTTAACGTCGATCACAATGGAAAGTGTGGCGCAGCAGAAAAGGAGGATAATTGAAGTATATTTTTTAAAAACTTCCAAGGCTAGTGTGAAGAAGCCTTTTGTCTTCGTAGAAGGCTGCTCTTCCAGGTTTGGATTCGTACCATGATCAAATGATCTAGTATGATCAGTTGCTTGGTATTGAAGAGAAAGATCTGTTTCATGATCAACTGATATCCCATTTTCAGGATCAGCTTCCAGTGCAGAGACGCCACCTGGTTGTTGATCAAGAAAGCCCACATCTTTGGTCTCTGCAAGGCTTTCTTGGCTAATTTCGAAGCTGGAAATGTCTACTGATAATTGATTCCAAATGGGGATTGGGTGATTGGTGGGGTTGATTTGATTCTCAATGGAGTTATTACAGATGTCGTTGGAGTCTGGAGATGGACAAGGAAGATCAAAGCTATTGTTTTTCAAGATTTGATCCGAATAAACATTAGAAGCCATGTCAACTTGAAGAGCTAGGAATGGTTTGGTTTCGCTTGGTTTAGTTCATTGGAAAAACTAGGAGTGGGATCAGAAGAATATATATAGACGAGTCTTCTACACAGCAGGCATCTACATTTAGATACAAATCAAATCCCTAACCATGTAAAAGTTTCAAGGACTAGTGTATTTGCATGCATTTGCAAGGGAAGCCTCTTGGAAGTTTCGGGAAACAAAATTTGTATTAATTAATCATCATAGATACATGAAAGCATCGGCATTCCTATGTGGCATGGCAATGGTTTAATGGTTAAGATTCATGTCTATAGCATTAATCAACTCTAATTCAATCAATTTAATTATTTTTATCAAATATTGAAATTTGGTGTTAATTAAATAATTTTAATAAAATCACAGCATTAAGTTATCAAATTAGATTAAAATTTTAAATTCGAATAACATTACTTTTTAATTAATTGTGTCACATATATATAACTCAACTTTTTAACTATCATATCATATTTTGGTTGACCATGTAACTCATGAATCAAACATCTAAAACCAAATCAACACTTATAGTTTTTTCATAAATTAGAAATTCACAAAATATACATAATAATAAAAACAAGTAAACAAAATTCTCTTATATTACAAGGATCCAGGTTTATAATTGATAAAAAAAATAATAAAAATTTTGCATTTTATTCATAAAATACTATTTTGTATTAATCGTATTAATTTTAAGTTATTCGTGTTTAATACTAGTTCAACCCGTTTATTATTCGTGTTAACAAGTTGTATTATTTCTAGGTTTATGTCAAAAAATAGTAAAGTCAAGTCCTCTAACTTCATATCGAATTCGAATCTTATTGTTGTTATACAAGCTAAGGAAGAATTAAATAGTAAAATTTGTTAGAGACCAAATGATAGACTAAAGCAAGAACTAAATGACATGGTCCTTTATAAATACTTTTGACCTCATTATTATTCATTTGGAATTTAAATTTACTTGACATGTTTGCATCACATCATCGATCTCTAATATCACGGTGCCGGTCTTTTTGGCCGGATATGGTTGAGAAGAGCAATATTAGATTGCACAAATAATAAACCAAAAAATGTATATCAAATGATGCAGTGCTAATATATTTGTGTTTTAAGTCCTATTTCACATATTTAGAATTCGAATTTTAAAATTGCACCATTTGATCTTTACTTTTAGTATCATTATTTGATAACAGTAGCATTTTTGGTTCGAGGAACACCGGGAATCCACCATGATAGCCCGAAAAAAACCTATCGAACACCATTAGGTACCAGTGTCTCCGACACTGACTCTGGAGGCATATATCTTCCTCATAATGTGGGTAATGAAACCTTGGGCCTTTTCTTATCTAATATCCACTCATTGTCTGGAGATGGAAAGTGGGGTGTATCTGTGTGTGTGTGTGTGAGAGAGAGAGAGAGAGAGAGAGTTTTTGTGGGCTCTGAATTAGGGTTTCGAGAGAATGGTTGGATGGACATGTGGGTGGAGAATCTGTGACTACTTGCGTATATCACCATACTTTCTTTTTTGAAATGGACGTGAATGGCACGAAATGAACACTAGTGCACTTCTATAAAAGATAATTTTACAATCAAGACTTACTGTACACATTCGTTTATGTGGAACATGGTTTTAAACTTTTCTGTAGTGCAGCTTTCTAAAGCCAAAGCAAAAGCAATGCTGTGTTCATGTTGGATGCCGGTAGTCGCAAAGCTTAGCCGTAACTTGTAGCTTTTGAAAATGTTAATCTTTTAATTCCTCAACATACCGTAAATATTATTGATAGAATGATTGTCTTATGGATGTACTAGTGTCGATCCGATCCGTCCCGTGTGATGCATATAATTTATCTCCCCTGTCACAGTGCCATATCATTGCTCTATATTTTTTGTTCTTTTATTTTGTCAATTTTGTGTTAATTAACTTTTACTTAAACACTGACACCTCAATCATGATCGAACTTTTCCGGTGCCAATCATTTGGTCAAATATGATTGAAGTTTTTGTCTCATATGTAATATTTAGAATTCAAATTTTAACCTCAAGATCATTTGATCTCATTATTTGATAAGAGCCTAGCATTATTAACGGTTCGAGGAACACCGATGATCCACGATAATAGCCCCAACAAAACTTATCTACCACCGTTACCAGTGTCTCCGACATGTCTTCCTCATAATGCGGGTAATGTCCATCCCGGTCTACCCGAACCAAAAAAAATACTGCGTTGATTTGGTCATAGGTTAGTCAAAAAACTGAAAACAAAATCTTTTAGCCTTTGTTTATCCAGTATCCACTCCTTGTCTGCAGATGGAAAGTGATGTGTGTGTGTGTGTGTGAGAGTGAGAGAGAAACTGGATGAGCAGGTGGGTGGAGAATCTTTGATCATATCCATGTGTGACCGAACTGTATTTTTTAAAATAGTCGTGATCACATACATAAAATAGAGGAATTTTATATGAACTTAAAAAATAGATTTAAAAATTAAATTTGATAATTTTAACTATTGATTTCACTGTGGGTCTCAGCATTTATTGGGACCCACTACCTATTCAATTGTTGAGATTATTAAGTCTACTTTTTAAGTTCATATAGCATTACTCCATAACATATAGGCAAAATTATCTTCGAATCCTTTTTAAGTTTGTCAGTTAATCACTCTGACTCCCTATTATTTGAAATATTACACATAGAATCTTTGAAATTTGTATGCGAATAACACTTATACTTTTGCCGTTAATGTCTATTAATATATTTGTCAGTAAATTATATATAGATTTTCTGAAATTTATAAACATATAATACTTAGATCTTTCAAGTTTAAAATATTATATTTAGACTAAAAATACTTCAATCAAAGATAGAATATTAAATATTTTAAATTTTTTAACCAAAATTCATGTTCTATTATGAATGACTTAGACCTTTTGTTTGATTTTTTTAGTTTTATTTCAATAAATAATATAATTGTATACTAATTACACTCAGATCTTTTGAAATTTGTCACTTAATTATTTACACTATCAAATATTTGAAATATTATCCACAGGCCCCAGAGATTTGTACACACGAAATAATCAAAAATTTATTTACTTTAATAGATATTTTTATAATTTTTGTGAGTCATTTTACAACTAAAAAATTTATCACTTTTGTGAATATTTTTACTATTATTGTAATAACTATATTTATCATTTTTATTCGGCATAAAGAAAAGTTACTATTTTTGTGAATAATCCTTCACGTTTATGAGTATTTTTATCATTGTCGTCACGACTATTTTTACAACTTTTTTTGATACTACAACAGTAATATAAACGTCCACAACAATAATAAAAATATTGACAAATGCGATAACTAAAATATATGCTACCAAAATTTATTTTTTTGGATATCGTAGACAAATTCATATCCACAATATTTTACTTGGAAAACCTTTGTTTCTTTCTAGTAAGTATTCTATTGCGTCAACTTAGCTTTAAATATAAGAAAAATGCTAATTGTGGGATTGTCTTAGTTGTAATTTTCCTTGCTGAAGTGAGCATTGGTATTTTTTTTAATTTACTTTTTTGAATTGCAAGTTTCTACTATATTTCCCGCAGGAAGTTTCATGGTAGGACATAGATGAAATTATAAGTATTTTATTTTAGGTAATTTTTGAGTTGTTGTTCAATCAACTAGTTATATCACGACCGACAAAAGCCAAAGATTTATCACTCATCTCATTTCGTTGCAATTGTCCTTGCTGAAAAGTGCAATTGAAATGTCATTAGTCATTGTCAAACCTAGCCTCAATCAAAATCAATTGACAGACATAAAAACTATATAATACAAAAAAGTAAACACTAGGTAGAAAAGTGTTTTCCATATCTTCGAGGTAATAGTTATCTCGTTATTTTAAAGAGACCTAACTTGGACTCTACTTTGTGGGTCAAGCCATATATCACCTAGCATGCTCCGATAAACTTGGTAGATTTCTTATGAGTCTTACCCTCTGCCTATTTATTCCATTGGGAAAGCTACGAAGAACAAACCAACACCAAGTACACGGCCCACCAAGGAAGACAATATTTTTCTTGTCTATTGGCACTTGTCGCACCGCATAATCCTTTTTAGAAGCAATGATTTTTCTTTGATCTTGGTGCGCAATTCCTTGAATTTTAAAATATCTTTGTGATGTGGATAAAAATCTTTCACACTTTTTACATCATTCTGTCAAAATCAAATGACGAGGTTTCACAGTTTCAACATCACAATCGGCTGGGTACCACCACCGAGTGGGGGTGGTTGATTAGAGTAGGATCAAATATTTTATTTTGAAGGTTTGAATATTAGAGTTCATATTGAAATTCAGTGATTGATCGTTTAAATTAAGTTTGTTTCAGAGAGATTTAACGGGTACAATCAAAAATCTCATAATCCCACCATGGAGAACGTAACGGGATGGACTTTGAATACCTTCATTTGCCCTCATCCTTTTTTCAACCATTAAAAAAATAGTAAAAAATTGGTTAGGTACAAGCTTGAGTCGACCAAACAACCTCAACTAAGTTAAGATAGATGATTGCGCAATGTGGAAATGATTTCTTGAATCAATCTACTGGATATGTATTTAAAAAATTAATTGTGTTTCTTTTCTTTTTGTTATTATATTTATTTTGTTCAATATATTTCTCTATTCACTATATTTTATGTAGTACAAATTTTGATGAGGCGGGTGCACTATGAGTGGACCACTTAGGCAGCCATGTGTTTTTGAGCTTTGATGGGCGGCCCAAGTTAAAATCTGCAACACCCCAAAATTCAGGTGGCTGTAATTATCCGATTGATCACTAATCGACCTGCAAAATTTTTGTGGATACCGTGTAATTTGATACCACATCGTTATGCCCTATTTCTCGGGAAGCTGTGACTTAACAAAATTTAGCCAGAGTCTCCTTTGTACAAGGAGCTCTACCCGAACGCAACCTGTATAA